CATACTCTGTTGTACCTTGTGATGGACCTGATTCTGTGACATTTGCATAGATGTGTCAGACCGGGGATGTACATTTGTCTTGCTTGACTATCTCGCACCCTGAATTAACAGTTAAGGACTTAACTCATAAACTAATAAATGAACCTATCTCCTTCTGTGTTACAAGCTGCTTTAAGGGCAGAAAGTATCAGTATGTGAGGCCACTGAAGTGTCAGATAGGTGGGGGGGTACTTTTACGTTGTATATGTATATTAGATGTATACTTGAAATACCTTACAGTTTTATTTGTCAGATGCACTTCAATAAAACTGAAATTTTAAAAAGAAATACCCATTTTTTAAAAAAGGGGTAGAGACTGTCTACTTTACTGTCCTAGTTCCCCGGCCCTAAGGCTATGTTTTGCACATAGAAAGAATCTGAAAATTCACATTAGAAAAGTGTACATGTTTGGGTTCAAGTCCTAGCAATTCCACTCTCTGGCTCTAGGATATTAAGCCAGACTGCTTAACTTTTAACATGGTGCTTTCTTATCTGATACTTAGATCATATCTCCCTGGCCTAACTCCCAGTTATCAGGAGCATCAGAAATTTCTGAAAATGTTTTGTAAACCGCTAATCATAAGAATTCCTAGGAAATCATAAGCCCCTCCCTGAACAACTGTGTATATACAACAAGAACTAGTTTTCCCTCTTTTGCTAGACTTTTGAGTTCCTGAAATAATTCTTCCCATCTCATGGTTATGATTAATGGTGTTTCATATATGGTCCTATGTAGCTGATTGTGTTCTTCAGAGAACACCTGTTTGGTGCATAAGAGCCAGAATGAGGAGTTTCAATCCTGATAACATGCATGGAATTATATAATGAAGTGCTATATGGCCCTAGGTGTTTTGTTGTTTTGGTGTTTTTTGTTTGTTTGTTTTGTTGGTGGTTTTTTTTTTAAGATTTTATTTATTTATTGGACAGAGAGAGAGAGAGAGATCACAAACAGGCAGACAGAGAGAGAGGGGGAAGCAGGCTCCCCACTGAGCAGAGAGCCTGATGCAGGGCTCAATCCCAGGACCCTGAGATCATGACCTGAGCCAAAGGCAGAGGCTTAACCCTCTGAGCCACCCTGGTGCCCCTGTTGTTTTGTGTGTGTGTGTGTGTGTGTGTTGTGTTTTTTTTTTAAGATTTTATTTATTTATTTGAGAGAGAGAGAGAGCCCAAGCAGGAGGAAGTGGCAGAGGGAGCAGGAGAAGCAGACCCCCAACTGAGCAGAGAATCTGATGTGGGACTTGATCATGGGGATCATGACCTGAGCTAAAGGCAGACATTTAACTGACTGAGCCACCCAGGAACCCCAAGGTCCTAGGTTTTAATCAGAAATTAAATCTACTGGGATACCTGGGTGGCTCAGTTGGTTAAGCGGCTGCCTTCAGCTCAGGTCATGATCCCAGCGTCCTGGGATCGAGTCCCACATCGGGCTCCTTGCTCGGCGGGGAGCCTGCTTCTCCCTCTGCCTCTGCCTGCCACTCTGTCTGCCTGTGCTCACTCTCTGACAAATAAATAAATAAAATATTTAAAAAAAAAAAAAAGAAATTGTATCTACTAATATTTGAAGCTAAACTATGTGATAAAAATTGTATTAGGTGATGTAAAGAATATGATAAACAAAATATTATGCACTCCCTAAACAGCTCTCTAGTTGAGAAGATATCATAAATAAGTAAAAACAATAAAAGTTATAAAATACAAGAACAATTTAAACCTATAAATCAAACATATATTCAAAATCAAAGTAGATCTCCAAGGCTATAAGCTAGGAAAATGACAGTGAGATGCTAGCAAACAGTGTTGAGGTGGCTGGGCGTTCTGGGCCAGGAGGGAAAATTAATGAACTACAGATTCCTGTATTTAAATAAAAGCATATGGGTGAGGAGTAAACCAGTTTGGCTGCAATACTAGAATACCTGAAGATAAGGCCGGAATTTAGACTGGGAAAAAAATCTTGAAGGGCCTTGGAGATCTGATTGTGGAGCTTTAGGAAAATGAATGAGGCCAAGAGGCATGTCTGAATCTTCAGTCAAGTACTTGGAAGCAAAGAAAACATAACATACTTCTCTGGGCCTCAGTTTCTTCATCTATGAAATGGGAATATTTGCTCAAGTAAAGAGATAATGTCCATGAAAGCCATTCTGTCAGTAGTAAAATGTTACAAATTTAGCAAAGTCCTTTTTAATCTGCCTACAACTGTCAGTGACTCCAAATTCCAAATAATTCTTAGGAAAGATTGAGTTTGAGGCAGGGAGTGCATGAGGAGAAGGGAGCTTGGGAGATTCAATTTAAGAGCTCACAGCAGTAATCTTGATGTCAGGTGGCCATTCTAAACCAGGGGCATGTGGAGTGGAAACCAGAGAGGACAATAAAGAACAGTGCAAGGGATTGGGAGTAAGAAAGCACCAAAAAGGACTTGAAGCTTTATCACTGTAAGAAAGGCAGTAAATTAAGCAAAAATGGAGGGAGACGTCCTGGTTTTATAGAAATTGGTATATGTATTAAAATCTGAGTAATTACAAGATCTGATAGCTGATGCCAGTGTATTGGCTGAGAATATTCTGGTGTAGACAGTAAGAACCAAAGTCTTCAGCCAACTGAATCAGATTATAGCTGAAGTAGGTGGGTACAAGGGAGAAGAGGAAAGGTAACATTATGGAGTAGCTCCTCCATAGGAATGCTGGCTCTTCACTTACCTCCACTTGTTTAATCCCCACATCAACCCGAAAGTATGTTTTCTGTATCCATTTGATAGGTGAAGAAACAGAGGTCAGAAAAGCCAGGTAACTTCTGAAGTTCAGCGCCTGCAGGGTGTAGGGAAAAGGCAGGGGATGGCTCAAGGAAAACACCCCTTGTGTGTTCCTCTCGAAGGTGCTTCCTTGGCATAGAACCTACCTGGAGTGTGAAAGGTCTAAACGTTCACTTTTAGAGAGAGCCCCAGACTGGAAGCTGCACAGGAAAAAAAAAATTACCATTTTCTAAAACTAATCTGACCAACAAGTTAATAGAAGATAATCCTGATGTCCCAGAGCATCAACCTACCTCACTAACCAAGTGATCTCCAAGAATTCACTGACCCTAGTGACTGCAAGCCACAGAGGACACATTTTTACGCTGCCCCATAGACACACAGGCACACGTGTGGGTGCTACACTGTGTTATATGCTCATATTTGTTACAATGGCCTAATCTAATACTTCCATTCTTTGCTCTTTGGGACCTATTAAATTGATTCAGTTGATAGTGATCCCGGTTTGGAAAACATTCCATTTCCTCATTTGAATGAAAAAGAAAAAACATCACTTCTCTGGATAAAAAAGTGGTGTAATTTTCCAAAGTGTGCTCTGTGGTGGCTCCATTGTTTCCTAGTGGCTTGGGAGATTCTGAACATACTCTTTTCAAAAATCACTCAAAGTAATGTGTTAAAGGCTTTCAGTTCCTACAGCTAAGAAGCCCGTTTATTCCAAATTTATTTGACCACAGAGTCCTTTTTATTACATACCTATTTAAATAAGCGCTTGGGGAAATGCAGAGAAAAAATTAAGTGAGCCCATTTTGAAAACTATACAACTATAAGCATTGTTGATATTATTATCAGTCTGTTTCCATCTCAGAGCAAACATTTCAGATTTTGAGATTCTCCGAGAATCTCAATGCAAGGGTCCTTTGGATTGTTTTGGTGCTGGGGAAAAAAGGCTCCTTCTATTTCATTTGCCTTTCCATTTCCATTGACTACAGTATTATATGATTGCTATGGGGTCTGAAACACTTGAGACATTGAATTTCAGGATCTCACTGGCAGCTGAAAGGTTTGGTAGTTCTTTTGCTTAAAAGAAACATATGCCGCATGAGCAAAATATCATGGTTTTGAAAGAAATAACATTTGTGTTTCTTCTGTTGGCAAATATTCCTCAGTGCTGAGAAAGCAAACTGTCAAACTGTATAAAAAATCTGAGCTGCCAAAAGAAAAGCCAAACAAGACATGGCCCCAAAAAAACAAAAGTATGTATTTTTTAAAATTAAATTAATTAAATAGGTATTTAAACAAGTAAATTCTGCAGTCAGATAAAATATATTTCAGTGCATAATCTTCTCCAGGTACTAAGGAAGCATGCCTGTCCTCTGAATCTCTCAGATACTTAACAATCACTTGAGGGCCTAATTGCAAATTCACTGTCCGATCAGCTAATGCAGCAATTGGTTCATAGCCAACAAGGGCTCCCGGTAAGCCTCAGGATAAAAAGGAAGCCACGCCAAGGCCAAGCCCCATGTTCCTGGGGACAACCTCCTGCTTACTGGTCTAGCTCCATTTCTTACCTCTTCTCCTGTCCCACGTAATGCTTCAGCACTTACCTAGCATTAAAAAACATTGCCATTTACAGGATGCCTGGTGTGGTCTTCTGGAAATGATGTTGGATTTTAAGAGTAAGGAGAGCCATCTCCCAATTCAAACCTTATTTCTCTGCAACTCTACCACTTAGCACCCACTGAGACTCAATTTCTTCATCTATACTAAAAGGATATTATTGATTGCCCATTCCACCTCCCATACCCATGGTAAATATCACTAATAAATTTCTTGTTTCCATCAAGCCGAGATGAAGCTTTAGGATTCTTCTCAACAGCTTTCTGAGCAGCTAGTCCCAAATGACTACAACGGGCTCAGGTAAACTTAGGACTGGGTGGTTGTTAGTGTTCTTTTTAGCTGTATTAAGTAGTTCTAGATTGTTTTGATAATTGAGTTTGTTGTTGTTGTACTAGAATATCTGTACTAACACTGAATTTTTTATTGCTTTAGAGAGTAACACTCAAGCCTAAATCATACATAGGCATACACATCTAATAAGATAATAATAATTTAATATACATTTATCATAAAGTCAGAATAAATTCAATTAATGTTGTAAAAGCTATGTATGCATGTTCAAACTTTAATCTGATTTGAGGTTTCATTTAATTTTCAGATGTGAAAATTCATCTCCAGACCACTGACTATGGAAACTTCTTGGCTAATGAAACAAATCCTCTTACTGTTTCCAAAATTGACACAGAGATGAGGAAAAAGCTATGCAGAGAATTTGAATATTTCCGGAATCATTCCCTGGAACCCCTGAGCACATTTTTTACGTACATGACGTAAGTGGTAGCAGGAAGCCCAATTAATCTCCTGTGTGATTGTGCAAATGACTCCTAACAGTTACAGGGAGGGCATTAGGCTGGCATGAAGCTTAAAACCCTTTTTCTTTTTTGTAAGTTTGAATACATTCAAATTTTCGCAACTAATAAACTCACAGAGCCACATATTCACTGTTGGAAAAGAGATTTCATTCATTTATAAACATGATTATGTAGGTGATGGCAGCCTCCACATAAAGGCATGGTTTCAGGGCTGTCTGGCTGGCTTGGTCGGTAGAGCATGCAACTCTTGGTCTCAGGGTCATGAGTTCAAGCTCCACACTGGGCCTAAAGATTAGTTTAAAAAAAAAAAAAAAGTGTTTTTAGTTTTCATTTTAAGAAAAATGGTAAGTGTGCTATTAAAAGGTTCTGCCTGATGATACTGAAAGTAAATACTATGTGACATTTTGGATCACTTGTCAGGCTAGAGCTGAAACATCAAAGTTGTTGGTAAAGCCATATCTACCTTTTCCTGATTCCCTTGCAACAGCAGAAGTAACTCCCATCATAGTTATATATGTTTTATTTTTTTCGCTTTCCATAACCAGTAGTTTCAGTCTCTCACTGTCAAGGATTTTCATTCTAAAAATGCTTGAATTTCCACACAGTAATGCATTGTACTTCTATTAATCCAGTTAATAAATCCTGTCCAGGGCTCAAAACTTTGGGCCTCTCCAGTTGTTCTAATAGATAAGCTGGGAACAAATGTCCACAGTAGAAGAGCTGATGATTATGTATATACCATTCCAATGTAATATACACAGATATTACTACTAGACCTGGGCCCTAGACTGGATTAGAAAAGTATAAAATAAAAATATTCCTCTATTCCACATGTCCCCTTCTTCTGCACTTGATTCCTTTCCCCAAAAGTAAATGCTTCCATTTCATATGTATTTTCTAGTAAAATATTTACAGTTGAGTATGTTCATTGATACTCACTCAACCCACCCCACTTCCATACTTCAGATTTATGCAAATGGGGTCATATTCTTTCTACACTTTTTTCCCACCTAGTACTTCTTAGAAATATCCTTGTCAACATCATTCTTTTTACAACTGCCTAGAATTCCATTTTGATATATATCATGACTCAATTTACCAGGAATCTATTAACAAATAACTCATTTTTTTCCAATGCAAAAAGTTTTGCAACTAGCCTATTACTGTGTAGGTCTTAAATTTATTTTTAAGATACATTTTTAGCATTGGAAGTAGTGAATTGAAGGAGTGTTCTTTGTTTTATTTTTGCAAATTTTGCTAAGTTGTACTCAACAAAAGTAGCACCAGTTCGTACCCCCAAAACAGTGCATGAGAAAGCCTGTGTCCTTACACCATTACCAACATTGAATATTATCTTTTTAGTTTTTGCCTGTCCAGTATGTTAAAAATTGTATCTTTTGCTTTCATTTATATTTCTTTATTACGAAAATCGAATAATTTTGTAGTTACTAATCATGTGTATTTGCTACCTGACCAAACACTTTGTCTTTTTGTTATTGATATATTCAGCAGTTTTTCTTGGTATGGAAGAGCTCTTTGTAAATTAAGAAAGTTATCCCTTCATAATATAGGTTGAAAAATTATTTCCTCAGTGTGATATGATTTAATTTTTATGGCTTCTTTTTTCTGTAGAAACATTGAATTTTTTCACTAGCTATACTCATCAGTCCTTTCATTTGTTGACTTCTGATTGTTGTGTACTGCTTAGAAAGTCCTTCTCCACCCCCAATTTGTAGGTAAATTTACCTTTTATTTCATTCATTCATTATTGTTGATTTTTTTCTTTTCTTTCTTTTTTTTTTTTTTGATGTTTCATTTTTAACATTTAAAACCTTTGTTCATCTAGAATTTATTTTAGTATAGGGAATGAGACTAGGGATTCAGCTCAAATTGTTTTTCCCCAACCATGTATTTATATACCATGTCTATAAATAAGTAAGTAGAAGAGATGACCATAGTTTGAGGCAGGAAGTAATCATTGGTATACCTGAGGTATGTGATTAGTGCCTATATACCTTGTTTGTGCAATTAGACCTCCTGTCAGTGCTGGAGGCTAAGTTTTTATTTATTGGCAAGACCCCAGGTGCTGATTTTTTAAAGAATCACAAATACACAGTTGGTTAGAGATGAAAATTAGGTGTGAACTTGGGTCTACTCGGTCTGAAGCCCAGGCACTTTCTTTGGGAAGGATTCTGGGAAGCCTTCCAAAGATCTGACATTGCTTTTGATCCTGGAAATAGGGTGGAATTTGGATATGAGGGAGAAGGCTGAGCATCTGGGGTTGAAGCATGTAGATGGGAAGGACACAGCACGCATGGTGAATAACAGGTCAGTTTGGGCAGGAGTGGGCTGCGCCGGAAGTGGAGGGGAGCAACAGGGAGAGGAGGTTAGAAAAGTCAGTTCCAGCTAGATAATGCAAGTCTTCAATGGCGGCTAAGGAAACTGGGCTTTATCACACTGGAGAGGTGTGTGTGTGTGTGTGTGTGTGTGTGTGTGTGTGTGTGTGTTGGTATCTCCAAGACCCTTAAAAATCTGAAGGGGTGCCTGGCTGGCACAGTCAGTAGAGATTGTGACTCCTGATCTTGGGTTCATGAGTTCAATCCCCATGTTAGGTGTGGAGCCTACTTAAAAAATATTTTCATACGTACATACATACATACATACAACTGAAGCAGAAACCCAAAATGCAAAAGAGACAAAAGAAGAGGCCAGGTCTGCTCATAGGACTCTTACCTCCTTGTAATGGTTGGGGTGAAGAACAAAGTGCTTGAGCTTAGGCTGAGTCAGCTCCGGGTTCATATCCAATCTTCAGTGACTACCTGGGAGAGGGGCTTTCGAAGCGATGCCTCCAGCAAAAATGTCTGACAAGGGTAGTTATGGAGACCTCATTAAAGATTCTTCAGACAGGCAAGAGGGCCCTATCTGTGTGGAGGTAGAAATGACAATCAAAATACTGGAGAATATTTATGGAATATTACTACATGCCAAGGCTCTGCTAGTGCTTTGCAAACATTGTCTCCTTCAAAGCTGGCAAATCAGGGCACCTGGGTGGCTCAGTCGTTAAGTGCTGCCTTTGGCTCAGGTCATGGTCCTCGGGTCCTTGGATGGAACTGGATCAGTTCAACTGGATTGAAGTGGATCAGGCTCCCTACTCAGTGGGAGGCCTGCTTGTGTTCCCTCTCTTGCACTCTGTCAATAAGTAAATAACATCTTTAAAAAAATAATAATAAATCTGATAAATCTTAGTTCTTATCCTCACCATTTTGAGGATGAGGAAACTAAAAGTTAATTGCAGCAGCTTGCCTGGGTCATGAATCAACAGATTAAAAAAAATATTTTAAAATAAAAATAAAATAAACATTGGAAATAGGCTTTGTAAACATCTTTTGCTCAGATTTTAGAGTTCAGAAAATCTAACCCGTGATAGTAACAGAGGACAGTCCAATTTTAATGGAGTCAGAAAGCTGCCACATTTTGTACTTTTTGCATTGAGAGACGAGTCTCACATGACAGAAACTTGCTCAAAATGTATTAGGAAGTACTTTAGCTCTAAGAATGACTCTGAGTCACTTGGTTAGTGTTTCCTCTTATGTGATGACTCCATGGTTTAGTGTTTCCTAACTACAGAATCTTAAACCTGGGAGAAGCCTTAGCATTAATTAAGCAAGCTTGCTTATTTCACAGAAAACAACCATGTTGATCTAGGTAAAATGTATTCTGTTTCTAGGGGCACTTAGGTGGCTTAGTCAGTTAAGCATCCAACTCTTGATCTCAGTTCAGGTCTTGATCTCAGGTCATGAGTTCAAGCCCCATGTTGGACTCCACTTAGAAAAAATAAATAAATAAAATTTTAAAAAGGAAAATCTACTGTTTCTAAAATAAAATTACTTGGGGTGCCTGGGTGGCTCAGTTGGTTGAGCAACTGCCTTCGGCTCAGGTCATGATCCTGGAGTTCCTGGATCGAGTCCCAGAAGGGAGTCTGCTTCTCTTGCTGACCTCTCTCCTCATGCTCTCTCTCTCTCATTAATAAATAAACTCTTTAAAAAATAAAATAAAATTACTTAAAATTCCAAATATTAACAATGTTTAAAAATTACATATAAGAATACAGGTGGTCACAAAGCCCTGCATAGAATATTAATGCAAAATTGAAAGTGGAAATGTAATTTGGGTGGTATCAGTATTGATAGTGGTATTGGTAATGGACATGTTTTGACTTACCTACTCTCTCTCTCTCTCTCTCTCTCTCTCGTCTATAAATTCTTTGAACTAGTTCTTTTAGTATTTGTATCTGTACTTACTAGTATGTAATGGGCACTGAATATTTGTTGCATCAGTATATAATCCCATATTTAGCCGCATCTTACACAGAGCTAGAAAATATTTGCAGACTACTCAGAATTTTATATTTTATATACCACTTGAATATTGGATATTTATTGGCCAATATGTTAGGAGTAAAAACCAGATATCATGCCTGCAGATACATTTTGAATAACAAGGTCAGTGTTTAAAGTAATTTAAAAAATGTATTTAGTTGAGCTTGCATTCTTCAATTAACCACAGTCTCTAACAGTTCTGTCTTTTGTCTTATGATCATCTGTTCTATCTTGTGTCTTATGATCTTAGGTTACTTATCAGATCCCTGAAGATACTTACTCTCACTTAAATGTTTTATTTACATCTCCACTCAAGAACTCTGCAAAGAAGGTGTTTATATCTCCATTTTTTTAAGTTAGAGAAACTGAGGGTCAATAAATTAATGAATTTTCTTCTCTTTTTCAAGACTTTATTTATTTAACAGAGAGAAAGAGATCACAAGCAGAGGGAGTGTCAGAGGGAGAGGGAGAAGCAGGGGGAGCATCAGCAGGGAGCCTGATGCTGGACCCTGGAATCACAACCTGAACCGAAGGCAGCCGTTTAACTGACTGAGCCACCTTGGTGCCCCAATTAATGAA